AAAAAAGCAATTTTCCGACTATAAAACATATCAGCTGTCATGGGTTACTTAACGTCCCTGAAGGCAAGACAAATGCAATTCTTATTTCACCATAAAAGAGGATTTATTCTATGAGAAATGAGAATTACATCCACAAGACTTCAATCCATGATGGGGGTGGATCTTACCCCTGAAAACTAAAACAGTCACATCCACTCCTACGGACAATTGAAAGTCACATCATTCATCTTACCTATTTCTTTTTATCCCGAGGAAACCAGAGCAGATGGTAAAAAAAACATGCACACATTTGATTCAAACTCCAAACAGACTTATGTGGAGTACTTTATCATCTATGCCAATCACTGAACTAAACTAAAGAGTTGGCAATATAATGAAATGTCTGTAACATATTGTTCCATCAACGTTTAGCTTTGTTAGACATCATTCAAAACGTATTTTTGGAGGTTTTAAAAGAAGGAAAAAGTCAGATTTCCCTCTGGAATCTGGTACTTCTAAGTATAAAGGAATATATTACAGTGTATAATAACAAAGTGCATTGCGATTATGTTTTTGCAAAAGTCTGAGAGATGTCCTTATAGAGGATAGACTACAGCTCTGGTGGACCTCCGTGGGACCTTATTTTGTAAAAATGATGTATTGAAGTCAATGGGGAGAGAAAGATTATCTTTCGATCCCGTTTGAATTGTGCCACGAGTTACACATATGATGTTTGTCAATTTAAAAAATAATTTCCACGTCAAAAAAGTCACAGTTTGTCGTAAAACTGTTGAAATATAAGAATATGAAAAATACGCAACTAGAAAGACTACAAATCCCAGAATCCCGGTCCCGCATGCTGGCTCTCACGGAACCGACTAACTCCCCTTGTGTGTATGTACAGCTCTCAACATGCCCAGACTTGGAGTGATTTTCACCTCTTTTAATACTTTTCGCCTCATTCTGAAAGAAAGAAGTGAAATGTGCCAACGTGACGGCCGTCTGGGTGTGTGGTGCGAGACGGGAGATGTAGTTCATTGAGCGGTTTCACACCAAAAAATGTGTTACTTCACAGTTTTACGACACATTTTTATTTTTTTGACTTTCAAAATTATCTTTTAAATTGCCAAACATCATATTTGTAATTCGTGGCACAATTCAAACGGGATCGAAAGATAACTTTTCTCTCGCCGTTGACTTCAATACATAATTTTTACAAAATAAGGTCCCATGGAGGTCCCCCGGAAAGGGAGGGACTTCGCCTCTCTATAGCTTGGAAAGGGGGTCGAGGGGGCTGACATGCAGGAGAGAGCCACAGGTCGGACTCGAATCTCCGAACAGGTGTGTTTCTTTGCCCTGGATGAATAGAGGTGGAGTTAAAACACTGCAGCCCTCTGATTGGTCAGAGAAAAACGTGAGAAGCACCACGCAGGACCTTCTGCAGAAACCCGGAACTTTCAAATAGCGGAGCTACCTCATATATTGATCACCTTTTTATTATTATTACCGCAAATATTTCCTTAGCAAAGGCACGTCGTGGTTCATGACGTAATGCAATGTTTCTCTTTTGTTTGGTTGCTGTTTCGAGCGGCATCGCTATGTAGGTCAGGAAGATCTCCGCCTATAGAGACAACGGAAAACCAAATCTAGAAAGCCAGATATCTAGGAATACAGCTGGGACCTAAAGTAAGTTGATATGAGTCAAACCAGCAGTTGAAATTAACCATTAGTCACGTGTCTTCACTAACGATAAGTTAGTGTTGCTCTTTTGGTAGATAAAGCAGTCAAAAGAGCAAGTATGACAGCCTCTATATACACAATACATTTGTATGTTTCTGATCAGAGCCAGCGTCACTTCCCACTGTCGAGACACATCAGATAATCCACATTGAGTATGTTAATTATGCTTATTATGGCGTTAACTGTAAACCACACAGAAAGTAAGGAAACATGAGATAACTCAAACCCACAGATGTTTTCGTACACAGCGTACCACTTTGTCAAATGTGCTTTGATTGGCATAACTCGTGTTGGGCTGTGTTTTGTTTGTCTTTCCAATTTAAGGCTTGTTCCGCTTGGAAAATTATATGAGAACATCTTTTTTTTGGAAACCATAAGCTGGGTTATTGTGGAATACACCATAAATATACTGTACACTATTTACTCTACTCCACCATACCACGTGAACTACTTGAATCATTTTGAGTCCTTTTTTACTGTAATTGAGTACCTTGATTTCTATATCGTAGCGGTTTCCAAAGTATGGTACGTGGACCACCAGGAGCTCTTGTTAAGGCCACATTTGGTCCCCAGGAAGGTTCTAATTTTTCTTTGGATGTTTGCACAGTGAGAGAAAGTATAAGGAGGTTATTTGATGGTCTCTACCTACACTACAGCACAGACAGTGTGTCATCATCAGATCCCAAAACTGCATTGGTCTCAGACTGCTGTTTTCAAACACTCTGACAAAGTTTTCCCCAAAACACATAAGCTGTGTTTGTTGTGAAACTCATTTGAGTGAAGTCCTTTGTTCTCCAAATTTTTATAGGCACTTGATGATTTTTCTCCACAAGCAGATAAGTTCTTGACCATTTTTGTCCTCACTACACCAGCTCTGCTGCTGTAATTATAATTGCCCAATGTTCTGTACGCCAGTGCAAAGAGAGTTTAGGTCTCCATGAGAAATGACGAGACTATTTCACCACTGATTATGATTTTACAGCCAAGAGACCTGCGGTTTGAGCCAGACTTGTATTTATCATGTCTAACCCCTCAGGGTGCTGAACACTTTAGAGGCTGCAGAGCGTCTTTGTGGGCTCTTCTCTCACTATCGACGACAAACTACTGCCATCTGCTCTGATCAAGGGAATGCTGTGTGTATGCTTTTTCCCTTTTTTCCCAGTCAGTGAACTCATCTGGCTTTACCCGCAGATCACCCCATCGGTCCATTTTTTTTTTTAGCTGTCCAAAATAACTTTTCGGCTTGATTATACGCTATCCACTGCCAGTCCAAATTACAGCTCTGAGCTGAAGAAGGCCCCCAAACAGCCACAGAAGCTGAGTGAATGTGCTCAATGCAAGCGTGGTGACAAAGACAGTCAGAGGCCAGAGAGACTCACAGCTGTATGGCTTGAGACAGTCTGATAATCAGCAAGACCTCCTGCATTATGGCATCACCAATTCTCATGGTGCAAGAGCTTTTCACTTGCTGAATTAGTTTGAATGGTCTCTGTAAAAGACTGTGATTCAGAATTAAGAAAAGCATCTGTAAACGAGGTTTCTATCAGATGATTGAAGTAGACTTTTTGTGAGATTAGCTGCATGTGTTCAACCTGAGATGTTGTGTTTACAAGAGTGTGTCCTCAACATTGTAACAACTGGAAAAAAACTTACACAGGTACCATCAAAGAGCACAATGATAGTTCAGGCATTTCCAGATGAGCTAGTTCTCCTGACGAATGTTATAGTGTATGGGTTTCTTCTTGGCAAAAAGCAACCATGTGCTAACGCTATACAAGCTACATATATGTGACTGATAACGTATACACAAATAAGTGTATATATATTTCAAATATCTTAGTCAGAGCAACATAATGGGTAAAGCAGTTTTTTGTATATTTGAAGGGAAACTTTTATCTATTTTCTATTTGGTTTGACCTTTATTTAATCAGGAAAGTCTCATTGAGGGTCCTGGCCAAGATAGGCAGCAGAACAGTTACAGAACACAAAGGAAAAACAAAAAACAGTGCTTCTTGGTCATCAAGAATCACATTTCAACTTATTTCTTTTAATTACTCACTGCACATTACCCAAGTTCCTTTCCTAACAGATGTTTTGATTTAGTTTTGCCTCTTTAATTCATCAAAGAGCTTCTTAAAAACGTCTTTCACTGTGGAAAAATGTGACAAAAAACAAGTTTAAAATCCAAAATAACACACAAACACTTATTTTCAAGCTTACATTTAAGACAAAGCAGAGACAGCTCCATCTACTGACCTTTAGAGGTAACTGTTGAAGATTCAAGTGAATTATTGGCATCTAAATGAATGTATATGTATGGGTATTGTTAAAAGAAGTTGTATTCATGTTCAGACCTGCACAGAGAAACTTTCCCCCCGTGGAACATTTCTATTATCGTTTCCATCCATCTGAGGCCCTTAACTGACAGACAGAGTATCAGGTGGACGTCTGACCCCCCCTCAGTTATTCCTTCTGTTAAGAAGCCTCTTGTCTTTAATGTTATTCTTTACTCTGTTGCTCATGGTCCGTGTCTTACCACCTGTTTCCAGGCTATTTCTAATGACCTCCACTAAGCTCCTGCCAGACTCTCACATTACCACCTTAATGTTCCGGTTTCCTCCTCGGCACATTAGTGCGCTGGTTTCCATATTCCCCACCGGAAACCTTATGTCTCGTAGATGTTGCTGCATTACTGAGGCCATGCAGGAATATGTGGGGACTGTACTCGTGCTGATGGATGACTAATGGCTCCGTCTGCTTTCAGTTGAGCTCAATGCACACGCACCATGAGCAGCAGCTGGACCGCTCTCCTCCTGCTGGCATTGCCATAGCTACAGCTCTTGTTTGTTGTATAAGGGAGTGTCCTCTATAACCACCTAAATATGACCTGTGGTGAGACCACTTCAAATGGCACTCGCAGGGCAACGTACACACACGTGCACACACACTCTCAGTCGCACACAGACCCTACCAGCGATGGCAATTCGTTTTTTCCTCTGGCAGCGAATCAAACACATGTTGAATGGCGAACAAACGGCCCTATTTTCCAGTTATTCAGTGATTTTAATCTCTCTCCAAGAAGCCACAAACACAGTTGCTGCAGGGTGTGGTGGAACTGACCCAGTTAAACCTCAGTATGCCCCGAGAACTCTGACAAAGACGTAACTCAACCTCAAGACATAAGAGCCTTGTGCGCCTGTTTGTGTGTGTGTGTGTGTGTGTGTGTGTGAGAGAGAGAGTGAGAGAGAGTCCAACCTGGCTGTTTTACTGTGTTGCTGCAGGGTTCGACCTGATGAAGTTCTTTAACGTGAGAGACATCCTGGGCACCAGAATCGATGAAGGCCAGAGTGCTTACGTTCGCCTCGGCACCATGCCCATTGTCCAGCAAACAGAGTAAGTGACCTCACTGTTATACTGCAAACAATTAAGCATTAATCACCAATATCTTCCTCTGTTGTTCCCCAAATGTGTCCTGGAGAGAGACTTCTTGAAAAGTCAACGCCTGACTCATGATGTGTTCTTAAACTGCAGGATTGTTGGTACCTGTGTGTTATAATGATGAATCCCATCGTCAGCCAAAATTAAGAGTGTGCCAGTTTATCCTAATTAGCAACCCCCTTAAAAAGGCATGAGAGAAGTGCCGTGTGCAAACGCAGAAATACAAATTTAAAAAAAAGCAGAATCAAGAATGCCATAAACAAAAGTCTAAAAACTGTGGAGCACTGGATGCAGATTTTTTTCTTTTTAAATGGAATACTTCTGCAGGAAAACATTTGTTTTTTCCTTTAAAAATAAATAAATAAATACAATGTTTTAATAAAAATAATGCAAATAGCTATTAAAATATATTATTAGTGATATAAATAATATAGTTAATCCTAAATCCTAAGCAATTATTTTGCACAAATCCCAAAAAGAAAACTTTGTTGAATGTCAGAAAAAAAACTGCCTTTTAATTAGATAATTCCTTTTAAGATCTGTTGGTGATTAATGCCAAATAATCTGCCAAATCTGTTCTGAATAGTTGTTAAGAAGTTACTTTAAAGTCATGGATAGAGAATCCTGTTGGGACCCTACTTTGAATATACACAATTGATGACATTTACATGTACTTATGCATGTTTTAATTAACCTCAGAAGTCATGAAATGTTATCGGATCCATCAGCACTTCTTACAGTCCTGATCAAATTAAGATACTCCATACAAAAGTGTTGTTCATAATCAGAATATTGCAATGACATTTTAGCGGTAACAAAGTAAAAAATAGAAACTGTTTAATTTGAAGTTTTTTACATTCAATTCTAAACTTTAACCGGGTCACTTCAACCCTGTGTTTATCAGAAAACGTAGAATTAAGAGCAGTTTATTTTAATACTAACAATGTGCTTGTTTTCTGCAGGGATGTGTTTCCTCAGGGTTTGCCAGATGAATACGCCTTTGTGACCACGTTCAAATTCAGGAAGACCTCAAGACGGGAAGACTGGTACCTCTGGCAGGTCTTCGACAAATATGGAATCCCACAGGTGGGTCCGCCGAATGTAAACAGTAGTAAATATGACTATTACTGTATGTGTCTGGATTTAGACATTACTATGTCAACTCAGAATAGACTCTCCTCTCCAACTCTTCAGACCTTTTGAAAATCATTGGGCATAAAAAGAGGAATTATATTTAGACTTCCAATCATGCTTTTTAAATGCAATGTTATTATTCTAACTGTAATACTATCATGATTGTGTTAAGCTAATATTTGATGTCTTATTATGCCTTATCCTCTACGTTTTTTAAAAGTATCAAGTACGCAAATCATTTTTAAGTTAAATAAAGGTGGGGTATGTAATTTATTTCAGAATCACTTTTTGTTATATTCCATAGAATACTCTTAACATCCCGATAGCAATAAATACATAAAAAAATATCATCTGTGGAAGCCGTGGCGCTGTAAAAAGCTCGACCAATCATCTGAGCCGGCCCGGCTAAAGTAACTGGATGGCCTACCTGCCTGTCAGCCTTCCATCTGTGCACAAACGTATCTCGTGCCCTCATTGGTCATGTGCGCGTTTGTGTGTCTTGGGGGAGGGGCTCTGTAAGGAAGTGGCTGATTTCTTCCGGTTGTGTATTTTCAAATTGTAGCGCACTCGAGCTGGTTTCTCCAAAATTACCTACCCCACCTTTAAGGAAGCTTTACTGCAGTTTAAATTGTAATGTAATGGTTTTGTATCGGTATCCAATATAAGCGGTATTGAGCGATCTTGAATTAATATCTACTCAAAGTACCAAAAGTAGTCATTATGCACATATATTATATTACTATGATTGATTACAAAATATGGACATATTGCAGCTGGTGAATAGGGCGATTATTTTAAATACTTTTTAGACTTCTGAGTAGCTTGTGAATTCCCCCTGGAGATCATTACAGTCTTTAATAAAACATCATAATTCACTTTTTTGAATAGAAGAACAAAGTGGCAGTGAATAGAAATACTCAAGGAGCGAACAGGCACATCAAGATAAGATAAGAAGTACTTTATTGAGCCCAATTTGGGAAATGTTTATGTTGCAGGGGCTTAAAAAGACAAGCCATTAGAGAAATTAAAAGACTAGAAATAAACAATCCAAAATGTAAACGTCTCAAATAGCATTAAAAAAGTAGAAAATATACATGTGATTAAGCACAGTTATTGATTGATTGATTGTTGTGCTTTTACTTATGTTTTAATGTGTGCATGTGTATAAATGGGTCTGTTGATTGTGTATATATAGGTACATACATATTTGTATTAGGGTTGCCAGAAACTGACCATGATCAAAATCGATTATTCGGCAGCCCTGGTGAATAATAATCGATTATTCTACCGACCCCTCTCCCGACAGTATGAAGTTGACTTGTGATTGTGTTCTGGTTTTATATTTCAGTATCTGTAAGCAACTGGGACTGAAAGAATATTGTTTTCATTTGACTTTTTAATGGTTATTTCCGAACCCTAACCAATTTCTTTTTTTTGTAAGAAGGGGCTGGTAAAATAAGATTCATTCAAGATTCAAGGCTTTTATTTTCATGTGTACATACAGTAGATGCAGTGTAGTTATGTCGATGAAAATCTTAGGTCACAGGCTCCTCCAACAGTGCAACACAATAGTGCCATAAGAGTCTATATACAAGTGATACATAATGTGTGGGTTGCAAACAGGTGCTATCAAAAAAACAACTAGTATAAGTGTACATGTTTTGTTTTAAAATAACTGCCATGTGTGGAATGAACAAATAATTTTTTTTAAAAACTGTTACTGACTGCCTGTGTTTCCCCCCTCCTATCTTTAAACTGTCCTGTGTCTCTCCAGGTGTCGATACGTCTGGACGGAGACAACAAAGCGGTGGAATATAACGCCGTCGGCCTGATCAAAGACGCGGTCCGAGCCGTGTTCAAGAGCCCTGAAGTCGACAACCTGTTCGACCGCAACTGGCACAAGATCGCCATGAGCGTGGAGGCCAAGTCCGTGTCTCTGTATCTGGACTGCAAACTGATCCAGACTCTGCCCATCGGGGACCGCGAGGACATCGACATCCAGGGGAAGACTGTGATCGGGAAGAGGCTATACGACAGCGTGCCCATCGATGTGAGTCTTTGTGGTTTCATATTTAAACTTCATGTCTCTTCTACATCAACATGTGTCCCCTCTTCTTCATGTCTCTTCTACATCAACATGTGTCCCCTCTTCTTCATGTCTCTTTTACATCAACATGTGTCTCATGTCTCTTCTACATCAACATGTGTCCCCTCTTCTTCATGTCTCTTCTACATCAACATGTGTCCCCTCTTCTTCATGTCTCTTCTACATCAACATGTGTCCCCTCTTCCTCATATCTCTTTTACATCAACATGTGTCCCCTCTTCTCCATGTCTCTTCTACATCAACATGTGTCCCCTCTTCTTCATGTCTCTTCTACATCAACATGTGTCCCCTCTTCTCATGTCTCTTCTACATCAACATGTGTCCCCTCTTCTCCATGTCTCTTCTACATCAACATGTGTCCCCTCTTCTCCATGTCTCTTCTACATCAACATGTGTCCCCTCTTCTTCATGTCTCTTTTACATCAACATGTCCCCTCTTCTCATGTCTCTTCTACATCAACATGTGTCCCCTCTTCTTCATGTCTCTTTTACATCAACATGTGTCCCCTCTTCCTCATATCTCTTTTACATCAACATGTGTCCCCTCTTCTCCATGTCTCTTCTACATCAACATGTGTCCCCTCTTCCTCATGTCTCTTCTACATCAACATGTGTCCCCTCTTCTTCATGTCTCTTCTACATCAACATGTGTCCCTATCTCGT